ATTTTTCTACTATAATCGACTTTGTCCATAATTACTATGGTATTTGCTTTGTCTGTTTCGTAAGGCTAAGTCTAGGATCATTCCTTAATTCATGGTAAAACTTAAGAAATCTTTGGTGACAATTGTGTTGCAGACACAATTGTGTTGCAGAGGCCTGAGCGAACTCAGACCCCTGCATCACAATTGTCCTCAAAGATTTGTTAAGTTAAGATAAGATAAGATAAGATTTCGTTCGGATTTTTAACCCCTGAGGGTTAGCCACCCAGGATAACCCAAGAAAGTCAGTGCGTCATCGAGGACTGTCTAACTTATTTCCATTGGGGTCCTTAATCTTGTCCCCCAGGATGCGACCCACACCAGTCGACTAACACCCAGGTACCTATTTGCTGCTAGGTGAACAGGACAACAGGTGTAAGGAAACGTGTCGAAATGTTTCCACCCGCCGGGAATCGAACCCGGGCCCTCCGTGTGTGAAGCGGGAGCTTTAGCCACTAGGCCACCGGGCCACAAGTTATACCATGAATTAAGGAATGATCCTAGACTTAACCTTACGAAACAGACAAAGCAAATGCGATAGTAATTATGGACAGGGTAGATTCCAGTGGGAAAATGAACACGTTATTAGAAGACGTGGAAACTTACGTGCCTCTTAAGCCAACTACTCAGGATGAACGGCTTAGTTTCGGATTCTGCTTCTGACTCTCGCCTCGGAAGGTCATAGCAGCTCTCCTTACTTGCACAGTATCCCTACGATTCCCGTTGGGGAGGGGAACCTCTACCATCTCCACGATGTCACATCGTGTGAGAATTAAGCTCAAATCTGCTGCCGTTGGCGACACCACGAAGCTTGAGCTTGCAACCTCACTCAACACTTGTCTTCACGCCAAATTCTCCAAGATTACCTCACTGAAAGAAGCCTTCATCGTTACCTTTCTCGATGATGCTGAAGCTGACAAAGTACATACACCTACAGCCATGAAGACATTGGAAGACCGCGGTTTTACCATCTCCACGTCACCATACATGCGTGCAAATCGCTGTGTTCATGAAACGCCTTGACAGGCTAATCACGAACATGTCTATCGAGGAAATTACGTCATCACTTGAAGACCTCAACACTTGGGCCAAGATTGACTGTTGTGAAGATCCCCATCGCTTCCTCAATGCTCAAAGTCACGTTTCTAGACGTTACGATGGCAACCAGAGCACTGTCTGATGGCTTGGCCATCTCTTACTACTACATCAACCCTCGTCAGATTGAACCTGAACGCTTCACGTACATAACACCTTGCTGGACATGTTATTCGTACAATCACTATACTGCCGACTGCCACGTGAAGAATAAGAAGATATGTTCCACCTGTGGGTCTGCAGGACACGATTTTCGTTCTTGCACTTCCACTCCTGCTCCCACTTGCATCAACTGTAAGAGTGATCACCATACTCTTGCAGCCAAATGTCCAGTGCGTAAGGATATCCTCTGTAAGAAACTGAAGGAAGAAACAAAGAAGTCATCTGGAACCTCTCCTACATACACTGCAATTGCCAAGATTCAATCTACAACATGCAAGATTCTATAAGCCACTCAACAGTTGCCTCCACCACCTCTCACTACCCAACCTCCACCTGATGATATCTCTACCAAATTCTATTACTGCATGATGTTTGCTCACATGCAAAATGCTGCAAAACCTGGCTCTTTCAACACGACTATTAATTAAGAAGTCAGGTACGTCGTTTGTCCATCACGTTTTCTCTACCTTAGAGAACTCATCAATGTCCTTAATTCTCCAAAGATCGACCAAGATTGTAAATTTAGAATCAGGCACATGTCAATACAGAAGTTCCAGACTCTTTCTAATGGGATAGTTGCTTAACACACCTCAAGCTGACCACCACCAATACAACTCAACCTGCTTGCTGCCATGACACTCTCAGCTCCTACCGCTGCCTTCGCCACCCTCTCCTAGTGAGCCAAGTAACGACATGTCCCAAAGTGGTTGGGCCACTTGCCTTGATTCCTCCTTGTGAGGGAAAAGTTCAATAGATAGGAGTAGCGAGGGAGTATATAGTAACAATAGTTTCATTGCTGGTTACTTGTTAAGGTAGGGTAAGTCAAGCTCCCACTATCCCTTCCCCTCCTCCTTCCCCCTCCCCCCAGAAAGGTGACGTGTGGGGCTCTGGTCCAAACAGTAATCACTCGACTCACAGCTCCCAACACTACTGTAAGTACATGCCTGCCTTGTATTCTAGTGGATTTATTGGTTGAAAGCTTCACTTTGGACCAATAATAAACTTAGTCTTTTCAGCCTTGCTCTAAGTTGACTGCTGTAATAATCACCACGTCTTTTAGGTATTGTACTTATCATGGAGAGTGATTATTTAAGCAGTGGGTAACCTGTCTATCTTTTCAGCTTGGATGACAGAGAGGGTCACCTGTCAATCAACGAGAAGAACGGATGGAGATGGACTAACATCCTGAGACTTCCCCTTTTTGGATTTAATTACCTGTGTGAAATTGCAGGACGTAACCCCTCATCATTGCAGCGGTAAAGAACCTGCTTTCCTGTCATCGGGATATAATACTCAAGGCTATACTGTGAAGAACTAGCCAGTGGGTCGTAACCAACACCTGCGAACCCCCCCCCCATCATCAGCAACGGCTACGATTTCAACAGCACAGGCGGACATCAACCAAATCTTTCAGTGGGCTGCAGAAAACAATATGAAGTTCAACGATGAGAAATTTCAATTACTCAGATATGGTAAACATGAGGAAATTAAATCTTCATCAGAGTACAAAACAAATTCTGGCCACAAAATAGAGCGAAACACCAATGTCAAAGACCTGGGAGTGATTATGTCGGAGGATCTCACCTTCAAGGACCATAACATTGTATCAATCGCATCTGCTAGAAAAATGACAGGATGGATAATGAGAACCTTCAAAACTAGGGAGGCCAAGCCCATGATGACACTCTTCAGGTCACTTGTTCTATCTAGGCTGGAATATTGCTGCACTCTAACAGCACCTTTCAAGGCAGGTGAAATTGCCGACCTAGAAAATGTACAGAGAACTTTCACGGCGCGCATAACGGAGATAAAACACCTCAATTACTGGGAGCGCTTGAGGTTTCTAAACCTGTATTCCCTGGAACGCAGGAGGGAGAGATACATGATTATATACACTGGAAAATCTAGAGGGGACTAGTACCGAACTTGCACACGAAAATCACTCACTACGAAAGCAAAAGACTTGGCAGACGATGCACCATCCCCCCAATGAAAAGCAGGGGTGTCACTAGCACGTTAAGAGACCATACAATAAGTGTCAGGGGCCCGAGACTGTTCAACTGCCTCCCAGCACACATAAGGGGGATTACCAACAGACCCCTGGCAGTCTTCAAGCTGGCACTGGACAAGCACCTAAAGTCAGTTCCTGATCAGCCGGGCTGTGGCTCGTACGTTGGTTTGCGTGCAGCCAGCAGCAACAGCCTGGTTGATCAGGCGCTGATCCACCAGGAGGCCTGGTCACAGACCGGGCCGCGGGGGCGTTGACCCCCGAAACTCTCTCCAGGTAAACTCCAGGTAAACTCCAGGTAAACACCAGACACCCCTATGTATATTAGCATTGAATTCAGTTATCATTTACATTTTTCATTTTTTCATTTTCTTTAATGTAGGATTAATATTTCATATTTAAGTGTTTTATATTTTATATTTTCTATATAATAAAGTGTTTATGTTTGCCTGTTATTATTTCTTTTTCTATTCATTAATTTTCCTGAGGAGGAGCCAGCCTGGGTAATACTGTCTGAAGTTATTACAGGGCTGAGTAACCCTTCACACTCCTCTTCTATTCCTTCCCATCCTTTTACAGTCATTTCCATCCTTCCTTATCCTTCTTCCTTCCCATCTCACGACAGCTGTCGTCGTCTTAATCCTAATCCTAATCCTAATCCGGCTTAGTTTCCTGTGGGCTGTCATGGTGGTGATATTAATGAATTCTCTCTCACAAGGTTCTCAGGTCTGGTCTTCTCTGGCCAGAGATAAAAGCTTAAATGAATTTAGCTTGCTCTGAGAATTACATGAATATTATTTATCCACTGGAAAATAATAAACCCAAAAGGATCATACAGTACCTGGGAAAAGGGAGGCAAAGTAAGTTATAAAATTCAAAGGAAATTATTTTTAAAAAGTAGACCAGTTATGGAAAGCAATTAAATTTTTATTAAACATTTGTGCCTATTGAGCCATATATATATATATATATATATATATATATATATATATATATATATATATAATATATATATATATATATATATATATATATATATATATATATATATATATATATGTCGTGCCGAATAGGCAGAACTTGCGATCTTGGCTTAAATAGCAACGCTCATCTTGCCATATAGGACAAGCGAAAATTCGTGTATGCAATAATTTCGCCAAAATCATTCTGAACCTAACGAAAATAATACATTTCACTGCGTTTGTTTAGTATTAAATTATTGTAAACAAATCTAAAATATATTTAGTTGGGTTAGGCTAAAATAAATTGCTCTTGTTATAATAAGGTTAGGTAAGTTTTCTAAGATTCTTTTGGTGCAAAATTAGAATTTTTTACATTAACATTAATGAAAAAAATATATCTTTAAACATATAAGAGAAAATCTCAGAAAGGACTTAATTTTAAATGAGTTCTTGCTAATTGACCAGTTTTACATATTCGGCACGACATATATATATATATATATATATATATATATATATATATATATATATATATATATATATATATATACATATATATATATATATATATATAATATATATATATATATATATATATATATATATATATATATATATATATATATATATAGATATGTATATATATATATATATATATATATATATATATATATATATATATATATATATATATATATATATATATATATATATATATATACATAAAATTGTGTTAGCACTCTAAATGTGCTTTAAATCAGTTTGTACCAGCACTGATTGTGCCATACATCAGATTGCAACAGCACTCTGTACAATTAATCAGATTCTACCAACATTCTCATTAATTTAATCAGATTGTACCAGGACTTTGAACAAGAAATCAGTGCTGTAGGAGAATAAAACTTACGACGACTTTTCGGTCTGACCAGGACCATTAACTAGTCTCCAAGAAGAGGGAAGGGAATGGTGTCAGTATAAATGCAAGAAGAGGGAGAGGCAAGGAGCAGAACGAGAGGAGGTTGTAGTATAATGGTTGAAGTACTCTTTGAGCGGCCATTTTCTACGAAGTATTGGATGTGACAAGAGGAGAAGGAAACAGAGTGGACTCCGGAAGCATCAGTACCAGGAGGAAGAGGTACTAACCAGATTACTCCAAAAGGTGTTAGTTGGGAGAAAAGCAAGTTGATGTCTGAGGATCGGAGGGAGTTGTTAAGATTAGGGAGAGTAGAAATACAGGGAAGGCAAAGAAGAGGAGATTTCGCAGGAGTGGAAAGTTTGGGAGAGAAGAAAGTCCGTTTAGCAAGTGAGTAAGCAGAGTTTATGAAGACAGAAGGGTAAACAAGGCGAGAGAAGGAACTGGAAAGAGTAGAAATTACCGAGTCAAGAACTGTGGGTCACAAATGTGGGGAGCACGGAGATGAACATGTACGTCAAGAAAAGGAAGGAGAGAGTTAGATCCCCATTCAATTTTGAACAGGATGGAATGAAGAAGATTGTTAAGTGAATCAAGATATGGTTGGAAGAGACTAAAGTCATGTATTGTTCCAGTCACGGTATTGTGTCTATTTATTCTTTAACAAGAAATCAGATTATTCTAGCACTCACACAGTACCATGAAATTAAACTGTACCAGAATACTTATTGTGTCATAAATCAGATGGCACCGGCACTCTGAATAAATATAAATCAGATTGTACCAACACTCAGACTGCATTATCGCTCAGATTTTCTCATAAGTGACTGAAAGATTTCTGATTGCACCAGAAATCAAAATGTTTCGGTGCTCTGATTGCACAGTGATTGGACAGTTACTCTGTACTAGCATTCTGATGGAACAAGAAATCAGGATGTATCCGCACTATGCACTACAAATCATAATGTACAGTCCTCCAACGGTACTATAAATCAGATTGCGCCAGCATTCTGATTGTAATATAAATCAGATTCCAGCCGTCTGAACAATAAATAAGGTTTTCCAAGCACACAGTACAATAAATGATATTATACCAGCAGTCATTGTACCATAAATCGTACTGTACCATCATTCTCGTTGTATTATCAACCATTTTGAATTAGTACTCTGTAACCTTAATCAGATTGTAGTAGTATGCTGATTGTGCCATAAATCAGAGTGTATCAGCAGTCAGACTGTACCATAACTACGAACCAGAACTCTGAGTGTACAGGAAATCGAATTTAACCAAGACTCTCTACAAGGAATCAGATAATCAGAGCATTCTACTGTAGCAGAAACCTGTTTGAACCAGCAAACAGACTGTTACATCAAATGGTTTTTACTATCGAGTTTAGCAATCTTTAGACCAAAAGAAATAACTCAGTGATAACCAACTAATATTGCCTACTAACTGATAAAGTCTTTAGATGTAATTATTCTGAAAATCTATGTGCTTGATCCAGGTATCTATTTACTGAAAGATAATAAGGGGCAGTATGTGTTATCATTTTACAGCCCCCCCCCCCTTACTCCCTCTTTCAAGACATACGGAATAACGGGACATCAGCTACTTTGCTCGACTTTCCTCAGGTGTAGAGAAACTTACCCATTCGTCTAGACATACTCAGAATGCCACCAGTGACTGTTAACTAACACCCATTTTCCTACTTATGTATAGGCAGAATTCCATACAGTTACTGTCCATGTTCACACAGCAGTGTAAATAGGTACCTGAGCGTAAGGTATTAGGAAACTTGTCCATACATCTCTCCTCATGGAACCATTACATTAACATTTACATTAATCCATAACACTATTTTTTCCATCCTAGGCTGCGTTTGACGTCTTCAAGACATTGCTTGCCATAGGTGGGCTTGGCCAGGTCGGTGACGGCGTCACGGACTAAGTCATGCAGAACTGAGGGCCAAGTTGAATGATGAACGTGAAGCCGGTGTAAGGAGTCGAACGTCCATACAGCCAGCTGGCGAGCTTGTCTACCAGCGAACACCAGTGCCATGCTCTCATCCTGTCAATGAATATATTATCAGATAGAGTGTACAGGATACATGGACTATGTATATATACATATATATAGAGTGAATGGAGACGAATGGTATTTGGGACCTGACGATCTGTTGGAGTGTGAGCAGGGTAATATTTAGTGAAGGATTCAGGGAAACCGGTTATTTTTATATAGCCGGACTTGAGTCCTGGAAGTGGGAAGTACAATGCCTGCACTCTAAAGGATGGGTTTTGGGATATTAGCAGTTTGAAGGGATATGTTGGGTATCTTTATACGTATATGCTTCTAAACTGTTGTGTTGTGAGCACCTCTGCAAAAACAGTGATTATGTGTGAGTGAGGTGAAAGTGTTGAATGATGATGAAAGTATTTTCTTTTTGGGGATTTTCTTTCTTTTTGGGTCACCCTGCCTCGGTGAGAGACGGCCGACTTGTTGAATTATATATTATATATATATATATATATATATATATATATATAATATATATATATATATATATATATATATATATATTGTATATTGATCAATAGCAACACTCCGCTAGCCAAGGATTCGAACCCATGTTGTACTGACCTGCCTCATGGTAAGCGAGAACCACATGATGCTTTAAATCACAGAACCACTCAACCCTACAAGAATGGTGCAGCCAGCAGAGCTAGCTGTTGGGCCGCCATCCGAGGGCATACAGAGGTGTGGGAGCTTCTAAGCTCATTCTCATCCCTGTTTGGTGTACTAGCCTCACTAGCAGCATTTATATATTATTGTAACCACGGACGAGTGATATTGATCAATAACAACACTGCACTAGCCAAGGATTCGAACCTACGTTGAACTGACCTGTCTCATGGTAAGCGAGAACCACGTGCCTCGTGGTGGGCGAAAACTCATGACTCTTTTACCCGCGGGACCAAACAATCCTTAACACGTAAACAGGTGATATCAGAATATGCATAACAACCACTGTGAAAGAATAGTGAAATTCCAAGCGCTTTCTCACATTATCATTAACACATTGTCTTTCTCCCACCTAGGCAGGTTGACCCGAAAAGAAAAACTTTCACCATCATTCACTACATCACTGTCTTGCCAGAGGCATATCTACACTACAGTTATAAAACTGCTACATTAACACCCCTCCTTCAGGGGTGGAGACACTTTAGTTTTAGAGATTTTAAAATTGAAGTTGAAAAATTGTGGAAACTGAGATTTTCTTACCAAAAAAATAGTGCAAAATTCTGGCAACATGTTGATGCAATCAGCTTGTTTCTATCATATTTCTAAGTATATTTTTTTCAAAAATGTAATTTTGATGTTTTTGCTCTTGTTAAGAGGACACGTTGGCAATTAGTGTTTTTCTCTTTTTTTCTTTTTGTTACTCCAATAATTACTATTGTTATGATTGTTTCATACTAAATACTCAATATGGCAAGTTCTGTGACGACTAAAGTGAAGAGCACAAAGTTGTTGCCGCTCAGTTGTTGCCGCTCAGTTGTTGCCGCTCAGTTGTTGCCGCTCAGTTGTTGCCGCTCAGTTGTTGCCGTTCAGTTGTTGCCGCTCAGTTGTGCCGTTCAGTTGTTGCCGTTCAGTTGTTGCCGCTCAGTTGTTGCCGTTCAGTTGTTGCCGTTCAGTTGTTGCCGCTCAGTTGTTGCCGTTCAGTTGTTGCCGTTCAGTTGTTGCCGTTCAGTTGTTGCCGCTCAGTTGTTGCCGTTCAGTTGTTGCCGTTCAGTTGTTGCCGTTCAGTTGTTGCCGCTCAGTTGTTGCCGCTCAGTTGTTGCCACTCAGTTGCTGCCGCTCAGTTGCTGCCGCTCAGTTGTTGCCGCTCAGTTGCTGCCGCTCAGTCGCCTCTGGGTTATCAATAATAATAGCAGGTCGTAACACGCTCAGATTTGGGTTTTCATCTCCATAGAGTTTTATAGAAACAAAAATATGAATAACTCAGGAATAAGTTATTGACATTTGTTTTATTTTTTTCAAAGAGTAATAATAGGAGTGTCATGATTTTTTCACACATTATTGATGAATGATTGTTCTATTAATATTCAGAGTTGTTTTGCAATATGTTTTACCATTTTGTTTTAATTGACTCTTATTCTCCCAAAAAACTCCTAAAAAAAAAATCAAAATTTTTTATAATGCAATCTATTGGCATTTCTCACAAAAAAATTGAAATTTAGATAATCTAACTCTTTATGTTTCATCTGATGTTGACTAGAACATTGTACAACTTACCAATTTTGTAGGCCAGGGAGGGTTTTATAATAAATACAATTTTGCAATATCTTGCAAATTTGCAACATGAAGTCAATACAAGCAAGTGTGTGGGATGCAAACTGCTTTTTAAATCACAGGATAAACTTTCATTGAAATTGGACCAAAAAAAAAAAAAAAAAAAAAAACAGCATGTAGGCCCCTTCAGAGTGCAGATTCTGTGCTTCCCATCTTCAGGACTCAAGTTCGATCTGCCGGTTTCCCTGACTCCCTTCATAAACATTACCTTGCTCACACTCCAACAACACGTCAAGTCCTAAAAACCATTTGTCTCCATTACCATTATCTCTCAGTCCACAGCAGGACTCGAACCTGCAAACTCTGCACCAGAATACATAGTACTTTATCCACAACACCAGACCCCAGATATGTATGGGCGCCTAGCCGAAGCTAAACGATTTTGAACTGCTTAACTGAAATAACTTTCAACAAGCCTGGTTCTCCAAGGTATGGGAAAACATCGTTTAGTTTCGGTTAGGTGCCCATACTAATCTAGAGTCTGGAGTTTTGGCTCTCCTCATGAGGCGGGCCAAAATGACATGAGTTCGAATCCTCGGTTTGTCGCAGTGCTGTTATGGATTCAGTAATACTTGTTCATGGTATTGAATTTGAGCGAATTAATACTGATCTCACAAATCCGCATATTTGCTGAGCTTGTACTATTCCCGGTGATCGACATTAGCTAACAGTGAGCCGCTCTTCCAAAGATAAGTTGCGATGTTGTCTGAACAGTTAGCGGTATGCTGTTCTTATATATATATATATATATATATATATATTATATATATATTATATATATATATATATATATATATATATATATATATATATATGTGTGTGTGTGTGTGTTGTGTGTGTGTGTGTGGTGTGTGTGTGTGTGTGTGTGTGTGTGTGTGTACTTACCTAATTGTGGTTGCAGGGGTCGAGACTCAGCTCCTAGCCCCGTCTCTTCATTGACCGCTACTGGGTCCTCCCTCTCCCTGCTCCACGAGCTTTATGATAACGTCTTAAAGCTATGTATGGTTCCTGACTCCAATACATCGCTTGTCAGACTATACAACTTCCGAACAACTCTGTGACTAAAGAAATACTTCTTAACATCTCTATGACTTATCTGAGACTTCAACTTCCAATTGAGGCCCCTTGTTTCTGTGTCCCATCTCTGGAGCATCCTGTCACTGTCCACCTTGTCAATTCCTTACAGTATTTTGTATGTTGTTATCATGTCTCCCCTAACCCTCCTGTCCTCCAGTGTCATCAGGCCAATTTCCCATAATCTTTCTTCGTAGGACATTTCCCTTAGCTCTAGAACTAGCCTTGTTGCAAACCTTTCCACTTTCTCTAATTTCTTGACGTGCTTCATCAGGTGTGGGTTCCAAACTGGTGCTGCATAATCCAGTATTGGCCTGACGTACACGGTGTACAGAGTCTTGAACGATTCCTTATTGAGGTATCGGAAAGCTGTTCTCAGGTTTGCCAGGCGCCCATATGCTGTAGCATATGGTTAATGTGCGCTTCAGATGTGCTCGGTATTATGGTTTTCCCAAGATCCTTTTCCTTGAGTGAGGTTTGCAGCCCTTGGCCACCTACCGGTCTTCATTGCCCTTACCTGATCTTCATGACTTTTCATTTGGGGGGGTTAAATTCTAGGAGGCAGTTGCTGAACCAAGCTTCCAGCCTGTCTAGGTCTCTTTGCAGTCCTGACTGATCCTCATCTGATTTAATTCTCCTCATTAACTTCACATCATTTGCAAACAAGGACACTTCTGAGTCTATCCCTTCCGTCATGGCATTCACATTTACCAGAAATAGCACTGGTCATAGGACTGACCCCTGTAGAAATCCGCTCATCACAGGCGCCCACTCTGATACCTCGTCACATACCATGATTCGCTGTTGCCTCTCTATCAGGTATTCTCTGATCCATTGCAGTGCCCTTCCTGTTATGCGTGCATGATCCTCTAACTTCTGCACTAATCTCTTGTGAGGAACTGTGTAGAAGGCCTTCTTGCAGTCCATGAAAATGCAATCTACTTACCCCTCTCTCTCGTATCTTAGTTCCGTTACCTTGTCATAATATTAACTCCAGTAGGTTTTTGACACAGGATTTGATTTCCCTGAATCCGTGCTGGTTGTCGTTAATAAGCTTGTTCTCTTCTCGGTGCTCCACCATTCTCCTCCTGATAACCTTCTCCATGACTCTGCATACTATACACTTCAGTGACACTGGTCTATAGTTTAGTGCTTCGTTTCTGTCTCCTTTCTTAAAAATGGAGACTACATTTGCCGTCTTCCATACCTCAGATACTTGCCCAGTTGCAATGGATGTGTTGAAAATTGTAGTTAGTGGCACACAAAGCATCTCTGCTCCCTCTCTAAGGACCCACAGAGAGATGTTGTCCAGTCCCACCTCCTTTGAGGTATCAATGTCACTTAGCAGCTTCTTCACCTCCTCGGTTGTGTGTATTTCATCCAAGACTTGTTCGTATATGCCTTGTTGGTGGTCCCCTTTGTTTTGTCTTCCCAGTGCCCTTTCTGTCTCCACTGTAAATGCTTCCTTTAATCTCGTGTTGAGCTTCTCACATACTTCATGGTCGTTTCTTGTGAGCTCCCCCACCTTCTTTCCTCAGCCTGATTACCTGATCCTTGACTGTTGTCTTCCTCCTGATATGGCTATACAACAGCTTCGGGTCGGACTTGACTTTCGATGCTATGTCATTTTCGTACTGTCAATG